GAGGATGGTTCGAGGGCCCCAGAAACATGTCGAAGGGTCGCGAAGACCCTCATGACCAAGCTTGAACTGATGGCTCCTAATAGGATTAAGGTTGGTGGGCTTATCCTGTACACGAGGCGCTCAATTCAGCTGCAGCAGTCTGGTCACCCTTCCAGGCCCAGGCTGAGCAGCAGCGCTCCGAACTCAAGGCTCCACAGTGAAGGGTGGGAGCATCATTCGCTTTTCGGTTTGTTTAGGATTTCAATGTTTTAGTTTCCTGATGCAGGGCTCGAGTTTCTTGAAGCCCCTATAGAAGCCCTGAAACGCCCCTCCGTCACCCACCGCGTGACAGTTCTGTCAAGTTTGCAGGTTCACCTAAAGTTCCGTGAGTTCCGTTCGATCATGCGACTGTTCATCAGTCTGAGCGCCCCAGGCGGCCGAAGATGCTGCTCCGAAGCCCCTCGTGCAACGGCTTGCATCTCAGGGCGAGGAAAGAAGATGGGGTAGTGGGAGTTGGTACAAAGAGGGCTTAGAGTCTAAAAGTTATAGAAGGGGTTTTGGGCCTTCAAGGCTCCACGGTACTGCTCTAAGTCTACCCTGGGGCCCCAGACCCATGTCACCTGGGGACCCAGTACAGTACAGTGACGACCGCAGTCAGGGACAGAATGTGTGTGCAGTGCTTGGAGGAAAGGAAGCTGGGCGCCAGTCACAAAGCCTCCAACACCGGAACCCAGTCACACTGAGAATTAGTTTTTTTACACGTACGTGACACGTACGTGTAAAAAAACTAATTCTCAGTATGCTTTTCTTTAGCTGGCAGCCCACGCCGGGAAGTTCGCTCTTGCCCTCTTTCTGTCCACTTCAGGATGGTTTTTGAAGGATGCCCCGGTTTAACTGTCCACGACATAGTTCTCGACATCCATGTGGGTTTACGATGGGTTTACGCTAAGGAAGATCTTCCACCTCTTCCAGCACACAGGCACGGTGAGTTGTTTCGTCTTAGCAGGTAGTACAGTTGTTGGAGAGGGGGTCCCTGGGACTGCTCTGGGCCCCTGCATCTCAGGCTCCGGCCCCACATTCCGCTACGAGCCCGGGGCCCAGGCCTCCGAGTGGTGTGAGGAATCAAAGCGCAATTGAGTCTTCTTTCTAAGCCCCCTAAACTCCTAAAACCTAAGCCCTAAACGCCCCAAAGGCCCTTATTAGAAAAGAGCCCCCCCCCCCCCAAGCACTTCCCTCCTAAGCAGCCACACCAAGGCCGCCTCCGCGCCTGAACACCAAAGATTGCGCCTTCGGCGCAGGTCCCCCACTTCCTCTGAGTTGAGTGTTGGGACATCACTACGCAACTTAAGGGGTGGTTTTCTAAAGAAAGGCTTATGGCATCTTATGACTGTGGGCTTTTCGGGAAGTGTAATATTTGGGCTTCGGAATCTGCTCCAGTCGGCCTTCGTTCTGTTGTATCATGATGGTGCTCAGGTGTGCTGTGAGTCGGGCAGTGCTCTCATGCTGCTCACGGCATTCATTGCTTGATCCTTTACATGCAGCGCATATGGTTCCAGTCTCAATGTTCACTGTGGCTTACACATATTGAAGCCGCACTGACATAAATGACACAGACAAATGGGGTCTAGAAAAGGATGCGAGAGAAGCCGCTTGAAGACACCCTTGCCTCAATCCCTCACTTTCAAGAACTCTCAGAATAGCTTGGGTGCCCACAAGCTGTGAAGTCAACCACGATTCAGACTAGCTCTTTGCTTTTTCTTTGGAGGCTCTGAGCCCTTCCCGCCTGTCTACGTGACTGAGAAGTGGGATGGAACTACCATGCAGGTGTCTGCAGGGCTGTGTTGATAGGGTTCCAGCAGCCTCGAGTTTCCAAGGGCAATGCTGCAAAACTACTCTCAGTCATTTGAAGGGCCAGCTTGTGAGAGCGGTGAGAGCAGCGCAGAGATGTTTGCAGTTGCTGGAGACTTCGGGTTTCGAAGTTCGAAGGTCAGGGTTGGTTGGGTCTAGACTCGGTACGATGTGCCCAGAGCGAACTGAGCGAAGTGAGCGAAGAGGCAACATCCACCCACATCTTCAAGCGCTTGGACTTGTGGGGGTCGGTGCCTCAGTGCCTCTGCCTCCCGAGTGTCTCCACATGTTTTGTGTAGAGCTCTGAAGGGCTATGCCGGGGGGGCACAGCAAGAGTTTGGCAGGTTCTTGTGATGTGTTGGGTGCTTGAGGGCTTCGGCCGTTTATGAGAAGGCCTGCGAACCGAGGGCTAACAGCAGCTGTAGGGATGCTCTGTTCTGTTGGTGCACGGTTGTTGAAAACTGGGCTTTCAAGGCTTTTAGGGCTTGGGGCTGTAGGACACGTCAAGGTTTCAGGGTTTGTGACGCCTAGACTACACCGGAATCAGCTTGACTGAAGGATTCAAGATGTTGCAAGTCTTGAGAGCACATTCAGAGACTCGAAGCATCACAATTTCTGTAAGAACTCGTGAACTTGAAAAGAGTTGAGAGCAGAGCACCCTCCTGCTAAGGAAGAGGAAAGATGGCTCTGACGCTGCGCAGCGCTGCTTGGGATGCACGCAGAGCTCCCTGAGTACGAAACGCTTCAAGAGTTTGCTCAACTCTCAAGGAAGTTCAGTTGAGGAAGGGTTGCAGCTGAATGCGCAGGGTGCAAATAGGTCATGTTTTTTGGCGGGGCGGGTCTAGTAGTCGGTGCAACTTGGGGACTTGGGACGGGGCAATTGCCATGAAACAAGACTATACAGTACAGACAGAGTTCCACCCCGCGCCCACTCCCTCGCCACTCAACATTTGCCGACATGTTCAATGTTGAAGGTTATGGCCTCCGGCTGCTCGGTTGGCGTGGACAGGCGGCAAAGCATTCATTCGTGACATGTTTCCTGTTGGCTTGCCTCGCAGCGTCCAGCAAAGAATCGCACTCTCATTGAAAGCGGGTCGACCATGACCGGTTGACCTCAACCCCCACCGTCCTAGCTCTTCGTTGTATCTTCTCAAGCAGCAGGATGTGACTATCAAACTAGGTTTCAGGAGCTCTGCATCAAATTTCAAAGAAGCCAAACTCATGCAATCTCCAAGCCTCTTCAGTTTCAGGGGCCGGAGGATGAGTGGAAGGGCCTGGACTTCTGTGACGCAGACCAGAGGATACTGGAGGCACGCGTTCATATCACCTTGGAGTGTGACGGACCTTGGACTGCCCTGACATCCGAGGCTTTGCGGCCCCATCTGCCGCGGCTCGCCGCACTGGAGCCAGGGTGCCCCGGCTTAGATGGAGTTTTTCCCCGTCAATCCCTCCAAGGTTGGCCTCCCTCCTCCCCACCCCAACAACGACCCAGGCTGTGCGTCTACTTCGAGGCCTGATTTTGGGTCTAGGGGGCTTTAGGACTTTCGGGGGTGGGCAAGATGTGAGTGCTCTGTGGTTTTGTTTGGTGGTCTCCCCTCCCCATCCCCCCCCCCCCCCAACAACAAAAAGCCACAATAATAAGAAAAACGAGGGCGAGCCACACCTTAAAGCACTAAAGTCTCCCAGGCCCTAGTTACTGACTCAATCGGTTTTGGGCACTAGGCTGTCCAGGACATCGTTGTACTCTATTTTCAATTTTCTGGTCGAGTGTTTGTGCAGGGCGACTTCGGCGTTGTCCATTTCGGACGCCGCTCGGCCAGGCGGTTCACACGGACATCAACGCGAACTTCAAACACCTGCGACCGGCTCGGTGTTTGTTGAAGCCACCTTTGTTCCAAGCAAGCACAGCCCTGAGGTTTGGTTCCAAAGTCGTGAACCACAAATCCAATACCTTCTGGGCGTATATGTGAAGCTGTCAACTCGAACACGAAGGGGGGGGGGGGGGGGGGGGGATGTCAGGGCGAGTCTCACAGCCACAGAGAGCTGCATCATAAACACAGGTGAAATCTCCGGCTGCATGATGAGTTGTTCGTGGGGCACGGCCAGTCGTTAACAGCCTAGCTTCGGAAAATTGGCAGCGTCAGATCTCACGGATCTGTGTAGCATTCAGATCCGAGACGAAGAAAGGTCCGAATCCAACAGTCTAGCACGTGCAACGGTTTTCTCCTCGAACACAAGTCAGTTCCCAGGCCCGGATTCGCTGACATGCGGGTCCTGCCGCCATCTGCCATTGATGGGGGTGGGAGTTGAAGTTCATCACGTCTTGGAGTTCGGGGGGTGTACTGTCCGCCTTTGAACAGCACATGTTCTCAGGGCCCAACTTGTATGAAGGAGGACTACGAGCTCGCTTTGCCTGGAGGATTGTCGTTGTATTCCCATGCTACAAGCTTTTTCCTGTCCCCGCAGCTGTTCAAAACCATGCTGTGACAGGTGCAGCAGGGGGCAGCTGGGCTTTAACATGTTGAGCCCGACACCTGTTGTCGCAAAACTCATCGAAGCCAGCTCTCGACAATCCCAAAATTGGTTACGTGTGGAAAGCCCCAAAGAACACCTACCGACCCTACGCGCTAAACTGCTCCACCCTCCCTGAAACCACACCCACGTATATCCACCACCACCACCCTGAAAGCCCAAGCCTCACACCTTCAGATCCCAACCTTACCCTCATACGGCTTATAAGCCTATAGGCCTCCATAGGTTTCCAGATAGTCCAGCCACCGTCCGCGGACCTGTGCGGAAGGCTCCGATGTCGGGAGTTGTTGGGTGCAGGCTTGAGGAGGGTGTTGATTGAGGCTTGACTCTTGACACTGAAGCCGCAAGAGCCTTATAGGGCCTCATAGTCACCCTGAACCCTACGTGGAGAGTCTCTCACAAGGTGTGAAGTCGTTCTGCTGAAGGAGCCCTCCTGTTGAATTTTGCCTGAGGTCGAGATTAATACTGGGGGCTTGTGAGGGGCTGATCTATCGAGATGCCAAGGTGGCCTCAGAGGATCTAGCAGAATCTAGCAGCTTCAGGGTCTGGATGGCTTGGAGGCCCATAGTTGTGTAGGCCCCCGAGTTGGCTATAGGGCTCCCCCAAGAAAAGCGGAAGAGCAGAGGTCGTCATGGGCTGACATGGAAGATGGGCATCCCTTGGTGCCACAACACACAGGCGCCACCCTTCGGTGCTCGTTTTGGGCTCTGCATGTTCTGGATGGGGGGGGGGGCGGGGGGGGCCTGTGCGTTGACCTCGGCTCGCGGCACAACTTTGTGCTCCACGTCTTCTCGTTGTAGTGCATCAATGCTCGAGCACGTGACGGAACACTTATTCATGGTTGTAACATGGGATGTTCTGCGATCGAAAACCTTCGCATCGCTGATCATGTGGCCATTGGTCAGGCAAACACATTCGTGTGGCTGTTGAGGGTTGAAGGGCTTCCCCGTCGTCGCTTCCTGCAGGAAATGTAGGCAAAAGAGTCCATCGTTTCAACCCACATGCTGCGGTTTTCTCGGCATCGGGTCTTGAAATATCGAGGCGCAGTCGTGGCTCTGCACTGCTTCCTATCCTTCACGAAGCTCTTGTTGAGCTCTGCAGCGGTTGCCACAGTAGTGTGGCTTAGATGATCACATATTTTGTCACTCTTCTCCTGTTCTGAGTGATGCCAGTATTACTCTCTACCTCCAAGATACGCTTGGGTCCAAAGCAATGGAGAAATTCCGGCTTGTCGAGCTCAAATTTTTCACTCTACGACTCTAGGAAATATGGTTCTTCAAAAGAAGCAGGGAGCGCGCTCGTTATCTGGGTGGGACAGTCCTCTTGAAGAGCATGATGCTGACAAATGGTTGCATGATGGACTTCACGTGGCCATTTTTGTGGGCGCAGATGCGTCCAGCACCAATGACTTCCACGTTGGTAAAGTCGCTAGCGGCTTTTGTGCCAGCCCATGTCCGGTGGACCTCTGCTGCGACCACTGCAAGTTCGTCTCCCTTCAAACTTTCTCCAGACACAAAACACATCACAGTTTTGAATCTGGAATATCTGCCAGCTATTCTATGGGGGCTTGGGCCACTTTGACGTGCTTGTCTCATGATGCTCGTAATTGGGGTCGTGATGCTCCTTGCATATCTCAGAAGTTGTCCCAAGTTTTTCAGAATCCTTGAGAGTTCAACTGTGGGAGCTTTGGCATATGCCACGTCTTCTTACCCATTTTTTACTCCAGCAGGCCGGCTTGCGCTGCCAGCGGAGGACTCGCAAGCTCTGGCCTTTCAAGGCTCAGGCCGGGGGGGCGGTTGAGGGTTTAGGGTTTAGGGTTTATAAATAGGGGTTAGGGTTTAGGGTCTGTGGGGTTTGGTGTTCAGGGGTTCGCATCGCCCATATGCAACGTGTGTTTTGGTGCTCTTGTCTCAGGGGCAAGGTGTGCGCAGTGTAGTTTGGCTACTACTCTACTGCCAGGGTTGGTGCTTCAGTTCGAGAATGGACTTGTGGAGCTTCAACTGAGGGGCCACAACATGTTTAGCTTTTTGGGTGGGTTTAGGGTTTAGGGTTTAGGGTTCAGGGTATGGCCCCAGGCTTGCTTGGCAGCTATGTGTGTTCGCGTTGAGGCTTTTGTAGCTCTGGGCTGCTTCCCCCTTTCAGGGAAACTTCCCGAATTGACCGGGTGAACCGTGCATGGACCGTAACCTTTGGCCCCCTTATAGACTGGGATTTGGCCGGGAGCCCTCCGCGAACTTTCGAGGCAGAAGCCTTGAGCCTCACTTCCTAAATCACAGCAATGCAAACACTAAGATCGACCGTGTTGACCTTACATAATCCTGAATCCCAAGCCTTTCTCGGTTTGGGGGTTTTTGCAGGTTCGCAGGTCTGTTTCAGGAACCCTTTCGTGCTCACAATGCGAAGCGGCATTTTTCAATCAACTCCGAGGCACTGCGAGCGAAGCTTCACAGGCCCGACTTGCGTTTCCTCAGGCAGTTTGTTTGTAGGTTACTATTATGATTACTATTATTATTATAATTATTATAATTATAATTATTGTTATTATTATTTCTTTGTGTTTTTTTTTTTTTGTTGGGGGGGGGTGGGGTGGCACTCTGGTTCTCAAGGATGAGGGAGATGAAGCCTGACGTTCGTTTGCGGTGTGCTAATGGCTAAACGTCTGGCATGCCTCTCCTGGAAAGGGTGGCCTGGAGCGGGCTTAGGGCAAAGCATTCCTTGAGCAGCATTTCAGCTCCCCAGCTTGAACGGAACGAAACCAGATCGACAAATCTCCGAATCTTGTAAGCCCCAAACCCTGCGCGAAACTCCCAACATTGGCAGTCTGCGTCTTTTGTGCAATCCAGGAGCCTGAAAGGAGGAAAGGAGCTTGAAAGGAGGTACAGGAAAGGAAACCCGTAAATATCCAGAAAACCCTAAACCCTAAACCACTGGGCACTTTGTCTACTGCTGCAGACTGAGCGGAGACCCGTCCCCAAGCCGGGCGCCAAGGGCCAGCAATGCCTAGGCTTAGGGAGAAGACACAGGGTTAAGGGTTTAGGGTTTAGGGTTCCAGGCTTAGGGAAGACACTTGAAGGGTAGAGAACCACTGCAATGGCTGCAAGGCCAGATCCTGATTCCCAACATCCTAGATCACTTTGCATGTCTTAAGTCCTCAGCCCCTGGCTGCGATGCATCGCAGACTCAGCAGACTAAGGTCCTCACAGACCTTGCGTCCGGAGGTGCGGACTTGACTTTGGTTTCAGAGTTTCAGAAGGTTTCAGACCATGAAGCTCGAGCAAGGCATCGTTTTAACTTGACTTACACTAGACTATAGCTGGCCACTTGCGGTGCGGCCCTTGGATTTTACCAGAACTAGACTGCTGCTGACAGCTCAATGCTTGCCGACGTGGTGCTTTTGTAGCGATCAGGTGAGTCTGCCCTTGCGGCAGACCCTGGTCCCCACCTTCTCAGCGCAGCCTGACAATGCGTTTGAACCCTCGGCACAACTGCCAGGATCTAAGCTTTCGCGACAGCTGGTCAGGACGACTGGCGCCGCTGGGCCTTGACATAGAGCTAGGGCTGACCTTGGAGAATTGTGTCAGGGGTTTAAAGGGACATTCATCTGTAGGGTTTTAGTTGGGGTTTTAGTTCAGATTGCCTTTTCCTTCCCCTCAACTACCTTACCTTGGGCTAATAAATCTTCATAGACAATTTCTAATGATGCTTGAGAAGCTCAGTGGAAACGAAAACGGCGTAAACTCTGGATCTTTCAATCCCAACGCCGCATCTGCGGCACCACGAGAACAGAGGACTGCGACTTGCGTCGGCTTTGCCGTCCCAAGCGAAGTTGAGTTCATGCAGTTACATGCGCTGTTTTCGAAAACAGCAACCTACCCAGTCAAGCACTCTCCTTAGGCAAATGGGTTTGTTCCGCGTAGGGCACAGCATGCAGACTTTTGAAGTACCCGGAGACCTTTCAAGGAAAAACGAGCGCTTCCAGCACACCACGCTGATGGTGATCGTCGTGAACGCCCTATGGACCGACCGCGAAGCAAGACATAGTTAGGGGGTCAGGGTCCAGTAGTCCAGCCATAAGGAGTCGTTCTCACGTCTTGGGTGGCGCAGAACTTTGTGGCGTTTGGTGCAGGTCATCTTCCTGCAAAACCCTTGAGGCGACGATTCGGGTGGTTAGGGCTTTAGGTGATCGGCGGGTGAGGATTTTCATCGACGTGCAGTGGAACCACTCCAACCTCCGAAACGAGGTGGATGGAAGGCCATGCCGCTGCACCCCGAACCCTATAGGCTCCTCAGCTTACTTGACACCCAGGCCCCGAGTGTCTCCTGGCGCGTACGTTGGAGCTACATGTGCGTGCAGTTCTGTCGAGCTCAGCTATTTTTTGCGATTGTGAGGTTGCATGCTTCACCTGTCAAGGGTACGGTGACGTCTTTTAAATGAGTGGAGGGCGGCCAACCTGCCACGGCAAGGGGGGTAGTATAAAAGACCAGTTTAAATCCGCATGTTTTCGTATTTGCCCTCCACCCTCCACCCCTCGGGGTGGAGGGGTGGAGGGTGGCGGAGGGTGGAGGGAGGGGTGGAGGGTGGAGGGGGTGGAGGGGGTGGAGGGGTGGAGGGGTGGAGGGGGGTGGGGGGGCGGGGTGGTTTCCGGATGGTTAAAATGCTGGGCGGCCTGACGCCGCGCTCTACGGAGGTAGTATGAAATACCTGTTTGTCTGTTTACATGTCCGGGTGTTTAAAAACCGGCACCGTGACGCTCTATCCGTTCTAAGCTTTAGTTGATTTCATTAATTCGGTCCCCATGCGAATGCCAGAGTTAGCTTCCCTGGTCTGACTGAGTCTTCAGAGAGGTTGGGACGAGAATGTGCCGCCATGACCATGCGAGTCCATGCAACCGAGTAACTTCAGAAACAACAGCACAAGGCCATGGGCGGCTCGGACGTTTGCATGCGCGTGAAGCAAGCTACATTTCCAAATTTCCACCGAGACAGATCATATAATAAAGCTGGCACCCTTGCTTCCCCAGACAAAGTATCGCAAGGTAGTGCAAGGAAGACCTATCATGACTCAAGCAGCTTAACTTCGGTTAAAACAACTCACCCGCCAAGGCCCTTGCAAATAGGAATCAGTATGTGTGGATGGTAGCTCAAACGCAGCTGAAGCGTGGCTCTGAGCATAGGCTCCCACTGGAGCCCTACAGCATCATCGTCGAGAATGCATTTTGTGCCTTCTTCACTGCAGAGGCCATGGTCATGGAGTTGACAGTGGAGTTTGTGTCTGTTTAATGTGTTCATTTCACCGAGATAAAGAGATTCCGAGCTTGGTTTGTTTTTCTGTAAAGGTTCTGTTTCTGGGCCACAGGGAAGTGGGGCTGCGCAGATCCTTGTGACCTTTGGCTTTCCATTATGCAACCAAAATTCATGAAGATTTGGCAGTAGCCTCACCACAGCTTGCACGTGCTGCATGCATTTTGAACTTTTGCACCTCAACACGTGTGAACAGATCTCGGGCCAAAATCGTGCCTCTGCGTCCACCCCGCAATAAGCTTCGCATCCGAACGTAAAGCTTAAGGACGTGCAACATGTTGAACTCATGTCGGTGCGATACGGGGTGCTTGAAGGCACCCAACCAGTTCATCGAAACATTAGTTCCCAAGCCCAGAATGCAACCTTTTGTGCATTGGAATGACAGCTCCGTGCAGGTGTTGATCCGCTTCTGCGCCTTCCGCACTTACCGGTACTGTATGGTGGATGCTTGGCGCGCCCCGGGATTGACCTTTCTGTTTGATGCAGGGCCACAGGGTTGAGGAAGGTGCTTTGGAGCTTTGGTTCATGTAATGCGATCTTGCTTTTGGATCCGTGCAGTTTGTGCAAGTAATTTGGCACTACTTTTTGATTCTAATTAGGATTCAGATGATTCAGGGGGCGCGCATGCGTGGACCATTCTCCCACTGTCCAGCATTTGCTGTGCTTGTTCGGAGACAATCCCCTTTCCAGCAAAAACTCAGAGGGCGAAACCTAAAGCAAAGACCTACACGACGGCAGCCAAATCGAACAAACCCTGCAGGCTTTGTTCAGTATATGGAAGAGTATGCCGAGTGCATGTCCTCATTCGCCCTCGAAAGCGCCAGCATGCACGTGAGTGCCGAAGCCTATCGACACGTGTGAGACACGCGAGCAAGGCCTTGGAGCCCCTGCAGTCACCAGACTCACTTAAAGCAGCTTAAAGCAGCTTAAGCTGTGCCGGCACACCCATAAATTACCTCATTTTCTTGTTATTTGCTGCGCGGGGCGCAGGTTTCTTTTCGACTTGACTCTGGTCATCTTCATGGTGCATCCTCCTCGGTGTGCTCTTTTTTGGGTTTCGGAAAAGAGGATGCGCGCATTTTTCTTAGGTTCTCACCCCCCTGTTAACTTGAGCCCTAGAGCCCGAAAAGCCCCCCCCCACACACCGCATAACCCGCCGTGGGAAGCTCTCCGCTAAGCTTTGAATGGGTGCAGGCCTTGTTATGAGGTGGTGTTGGGACGCTGGGGGGCTGGGGTGACAAGACTTGGCGTGCAGGTTTGGGGCTTAGGATAGGCAAAGAACAAGCAACAAGGGGTGAACATTTAACCCCCTCTGAGCGATCTAAATCCGCGAAGATCAAGCCCGAGATTCCAAGAGCACTAAAGTCAGGCAGCTTTGGTCTGCTGTCTTTTCTAAAATCGGCTAAGGAGCTTAGCCAGCTAAGCAGCTAGAGTATAGGGCTTCAAGTGCAGACATCAGCCTGGAGGGGAAACCCACATCCTCACCAAATCCCCACTTACACCATCGAAAAGCTGCAAGGGTTGTGAGTTGCTGCGCCGCTCTCAAAGCCGTCATGGAAGGTATCTGTTTAATCAACAGTTGGCCCGGCCCTTGCGCTCTTGCCCCAAACTGTCCCCCCAACGCTCAACACGCAACGAAGCAGCGACTGAGGCTGGAGACATGGGTTATCTCCCTGATCGATCTGGCCTCGGGTCTGGAAGCCAAGCTGCCCAAAACCCACCCTTTTTTTCCTCTGGGGGGGATATGAGGGATGGCCCGTACTCTTAGTAGGCAAGCTGGGCTCCTTCATTTAGTAGGAGTCGAGCTCGTCAGAGTCTCAGATCCTGCTCGGCTTTGAACGTTTGATCCAAGGAGGGCTCCTTTTAGCCTCTGGCCGTGCACTTTCAAAGCACAAGGAGGTAAGCACGGGCAAGCAACTTGAGCCCTTCCGGCCTGAATGGTCTATCTATAAAGGCAGCCCAAAGCCTTCAAATCCTTAGTGTAAAAAGTGTCGACCCGGACCTTTGGACAAAGCCTTGTCCCCAGCATCCCTCAAGCCAGGCGGAACTGGAGGCGGTGCCGGCATCCTGAACAACTTCAGTAGTCTCAGGCCACCGGAGATGGGCGTGCCAAGGGTTTGGGGACCTGCAGGACACGTTTAGAATTTGGAATCCTCTCCTCGGCTGTTCCCGGAGTCTGGGTGCTGAAGGGTTTTGTGAGCTTTTTTTTGCGTTTGCGACAAAGAAGCCAGCACCCATTGAGGACCGCTGTTGCTTGGTGCGGCAGCTTTCCTCTGCAAGAGACCTGAACCTTGAAAGCTCCCAGAAAGATTCGAAGGTGCATCCCTTAAGCCTTAATTCAGCCATTGAAAACCCAGCTGTCTTGAGTTGTCTTCTCCTTGATGATTTAAGAAATTTAGCTGGGGGAATCTGCTTGGAAGGTTGCTCCGGCTGCTGCGGCTGACGCGCATGGCTCGCTTGATGCGTGGGGTGACCCAATGGGCTGAAGTTTCGGGCTTGTCGTTTCCGCAGGTTAGAGTTTTGTGAGGAGCAAAGGTTTAGGGTTTAATTAGGGTTTCGGGTTTCGGGTGTAGGGTTTAGGGCTTCGGAGTTGAAACAGCCCGGGTTCTCAGCGGCTTCGAAGCTGCAGGTGTGGGCTTCCGCGTCCCTGGGGCAAATTGGGGTTCCGGTTCCCTTGTTGCTGAATCAGGGCCTCCGCTGGATCAAAAAACCCTAAATCGGCTCGAAATTTCGAGAGAAAGTCCCAATCTTCATCCGCAAGCAAGCCTACAGCCTGCTTTAAAATCGTGCGGGCTGCTGGCCCCTTTTCAGCACCAAGCCAACCTCAAATTCGGTGCGGGGCGCTTGCCCGCACAGCTTTCAAGCCCAAGCCTGCTTTCAAAATCGTGCGGGTTGCTGGCCCGCACCGCTTTTCAGCACCAAGCCAACCTCAAATTCGGTGCGGGGCGCTTGCCCACAGCTTTCAAGCCCAAGCCTGCTTTAAAAATCGTGCGGGCTGCTGGCCCGCACCCCTTTTCAGCACCAAGCCAACCTCAAATTAGCGGGGCGCTTGCCCGCACAGCTTTCGAGCCCAAGCCTGTTTAAAAATCGTGCGGGCTGCTGGCCCGCACCCCTTTTCAGCACCAAGCCAACCTCAAATTCGGTGCGGGGCGCTTGCCCGCACAGCTTTCAAGCCCAAGCCAGCTTTCAAAATCGTGCGGGCTGCTGGCCCGCACCCCTTTTCAGCACCAAGCCAACCTCAAATTCGGTGCGGGGCGCTTGCCCGCACAGCTTTCAAGCCCAAGCCTGCTTTAAAAATCGTGCGGGCTGCTGGCCCGCACCCCTTTTCAGCACCAAGCCAACCTCAAATTCGGTGCGGGGCGCTTGCCCGCACAGCTTTCAAGCCCAAGCCTGCTTTAAGAATCGTGCGGGCTGCTGGCCCGCACCCCTTTTCAGCACCAAGCCAACCTCAAATTCGGTGCGGGGCGCTTGCCCGCACAGCTTTCAAGCCCAAGCCTGCTTGAAAAATCGTGCGGGCTGGTGGCCCACACCCCTTTTCAGCACCAAGCCAACCTCAAATTCGGTGCGGCGCTTGCCCGCACAGCTTTCAAGCCCAAGCCTGTTTTAAGAATCGTGCGGGCTGCTGGTCCGCACCCCTTTTCAGCACCAAGCCAACCTCAAATTCGGTGCGGGGCGCTTGCCCGCACAGCTTTCAAGCCCAAGCCTGCTTTAAAAATCGTGCGGGCTGCTGGCCCGCACCCCTTTTCAGCACCAAGCCAACCTCAAATTCGGTGCGGGGCGCTTGCCCGCACAGCTTTCAAGCCCAAGCCTGCTTTAAAAATCGTGCGGGCTGCTGGCCCGCACCCCTTTTCAGCACCAAGCCAACCTCAAATTCGGTGCGGGGCGCTTGCCCGCACAGCTTTCAAGCCCAAGCCTGCTTTGAAAAACGCGTGCGGGCTGCTGGCCCGCACCCCTTTTCAGCGCCAAACCAACCTCAAATTCGGTGCGGGGCGCTTGCCCGCACAGCTTTCAAGCCCAAACCTGCCCGCACCCCTTTTCAGCACCAAGCCAACCTCAAATTCGGTGCGGGGCGCTTGCCCGCACAGCTTTCAAGCCCAAGCCTGCTTTAAAAATCGTGCGGGCTGGTGGCCCACACCCCTTTTCAGCACCAAGCCAACCTCAAATTCGGTGCGGCGCTTGCCCGCACAGCTTTCAAGCCCAAGCCTGCTTTAAAAATCGTGCGAGCTGCTGGCCCGCACCCCTTTTCAGCACCAAGCCAACCTCAAATTCGCGGGGCGCTTGCCCGCACAGCTTTCAAGCCCAAGCCTGCTTTAAAAATCGTGCGGGCTGCTGGCCCGCACCCCTTTTCAGCACCAAGCCAACCTCAAATTCGGTGCGGGGCGCTTGCCCGCACAGCTTTCAAGCCCAAGCCTGCTTTAAAAATCGTGCGGGCTGCTGGCCCGCACCCTTTTTCAGCCACCAAGCCAACCTCAAATTTCCGTGCGGGCGCTTGCCCCGCACATGCTTTTCAAGCCCAAGCCTGCTTTGAAAAACGCATGCGGGCTGCTGGCCCCACCCCTTTTCAGCACCCACAAACCAACCTCAAAAATTCGGTGGGCGGTGCGCTGGCCCTCACACGCTTTCAAGCCCAAGCCTGCCCGCACCCCTTTTCAGCACCAAGGCCAACCCAAATTCGGTGCGTTCGCTTTGCCCGCACAGCTTTCAAGCCCAAACCTGCTTTTAAAATCTGCGAGCTGCTGGCCCCACCCCTTTTCAGCACCAGCCAACCTCGAATTCGCGGTGGTTGCCCTCACAGCTTTTCAAGCCCCAATCCTGCTTTGAAAAAAAAATCGTGCGGGCTGCTGGCCCGCACCCCTTTTTCAGCACCAAGCCAACCTCAAATTCGGTGCGGGGCGCTTGCCCGCACAGCTTTCAAGCCCAAGCCTGCTTTAAAAATCGTGCGGGCTGCTGGCCCGCACCCCTTTTCAGCACCAAGCCAACCTCAAATTCGGTGCGGGCGCTTGCCCGCACAGCTTTCAAGCCCAAGCCTGCTTTGAAAAACGCGTGCGGGCTGCTGGCCCGCACCCCTTTTCAGCACCAAGCCAACCTCAAATTCGGTGCGGGGCGCCTGCCCGCACAGCTTTCAAGCCCAAGCCTGCTTTAAAAATCGCGCGGGCTGGTGGCCCACACCCCTTTTCAGCACCAAGCCAACCTCAAATTCGGTGCAGGGCGCTTGCCCGCACAGCTTTCAAGCCCAAGCCTGCTTTAAAAATCGCGCGGGCTGCTGGCCCGCACCCCTTTTCAGCACCAAGCCAACCTCAAATTCGGTGCGGGGCGCTTGCCCGCACAGCTTTCAAGCCCAAGCCTGCTTTAAAAATCGCGTGCGGGCTGCTGGCCCGCACCCCTTTTCAGCACCAAGCCAACCTCAAATTCGGTGCGGGGCGCCTGCCCGCACAGCTTTCAAGCCCAAGCCTGCTTTAAAAACCGTGCGGGCTGCTGGCCCGCACCCCTTTTCAGCACCAAGCCAACCTTAAATTCGGTGCGGGGCGCTTGCCCGCACAGCTTTCAAGCCCAAGCCTGCTTTTAAAATCGTGCAGGCTGCTGGCCCGCACCCCTTTTCAGCACCAAGCCAACCTCAAATTCGGTGCGGGGCGCTTGCCCGCACAGCTTTCAAGCCCAAGCCTGCTTTTAAAACCGTGCGGGCTGGCGGCCCGCACCCCTTTTCAGCACCGGTGCGGGGCGCTTGCCCGCACAGCTTTCAAGCCCAAGCCTGCTTTAAAAATCGTGCGGGCTGCTGGCCCGCACCCCTCTTCAGCACCAAGCCAACCTCAAATTCGGTGCGGGGCGCTTGCCCGCACAGCTTTCAAGCCCAAGCCTGCTTTAAAAATCGTGCGGGCTGCTGGCCCGCACCCCTTTTCAGCACCAAGCCAACCTCAAATTCGGTGCGTTGCGCTTGCCCGCACAGCTTTCAAGCCCAAGCCTGCTTTAAAAATCATGCGGGCTGCTGGCCCGCATCCGTTTCAGCACCAAGCCGACCCTCAAATTCGGTGCGGGGCGCTTGCCCGCACAGCTTTCAAGCCCAAGCCTGCTTTAAAAATCGTGCGGGCTGCTGGCCCGCACCCCTTTTCAGCACCAAGCCAACCTCAAATTCGGTGCGGGGCGCTTGCCCGCACAGCTTTCAAGCCCAAGCCTGCTTTAAGAATCGTGCGGGCTGCTGGCCCGCACCCCTTTTCAGCACCAAGCCAACCTCAAATTCGGTGCGGGGCGCTTGCCCGCACAGCTTTCAAGCCCAAGCCTGCTTTAAAAACCGTGCGGGCTGCTGGCCTGCACCCCTTTTCAGCACCAAGCCAACCTCAATTTCGGTGCGGGGCGCTTGCCCGCACAGCTTTCAAGCCCAAGCTTGTTTAAAAAATCGTGCGGGCTGCTGGCCCGCACCCCTTTTCAGCACCAAACCAACCACAAATTCGGTGCGGGGCGCTTGCCCGCACAGCTTTCAAGCCCAAGCCTGCTTTAAAAATCGCGTGCGGGCTGCTGGCCCGCACCCCTTTTCAGCACCAAGCCAACCTCAAATTCGGTGCGGGGCGCCTGCCCGCACAGCTTTCAAGCCCAAGCCTGCTTGAAAAATCGTGCGGGCTGGTGGCCCACACCCCTTTTCAGCACCAAGCCAACCTCAAATTCGGTGCGGCGCTTGCCCGCACAGCTTTCAAGCCCAAGCCTGTTTTAAGAATCGTGCGGGCTGCTGGTCCGCACCCCTTTTCAGCACCAAGCCAACCTCAAATTCGGTGCGGGGCGCTTGCCCGCACAGCTTTCAAGCCCAAGCCTGCTTTAAAAATCGTGCGGGGCGCTTGCCCGCACAGCTTTCAAGCCCAGCCTGCTTTAAAAATCGTGCGGGCTGCTGGCCCGCACCCCTTTTCAGAACCAACAACCTCAAATTCGGTGCGGGGCGCTAGCCCGCACAGCTTTCAAGCCCAAGCCTGCTTTAAAACCGTGCGGGCTGCTGGCCCGCACCCCTTTTCAGCACCAAGCCAACCTCAAATTTGGTGCGGGGCGCTTGCCCGCACAGATTTCAAGCCCAAGCCTGCTTTAAAAATCGCGTGCGGGCTGCTGGCCCGCACCCCTTTTCAGCACCAAGCCAACCTCAAATTCGGTGCGGGGCGCTTGCCCGCACAGCTTTCAAGCCCAAGCCTGCTTTAAATAAATCGTGCGGGCTGCTGGCCCGCACCCCGTTTCAGCACCAAGCCAACCCTCAAATTCGGTGCGGGGCGCTTGCCTGCACAGCTTTCAAGCCCAAGCCTGCTTTAAAAATCGTGCGGGCTGTTGGCCCGCATAAGAGTTCTCTGAACATGTTTGCATAGCCTCGGCACGTGCACAGGGCCGACGCTTGTGCGTCCGTAACATTTCAAGATCAAAGGGGCAGGAGCATAGCATGGACGCCTATCACTTTGCGGGCGCTGCTGGGGGACTGCTGCTTGGAATCTGGCTTAA